ATCTAGCCATACACGTTTGTATGCATTTATATATCCGGATGTATATGTTAACTCCTGGACCTTCAATATCACATTTCATGGAGCTGTTTTACTCCTCCACATGGTACATATTTCTATTTCAACATTTGACTATATTGTGTATGTTTCACATAACAAACCATGGGGCATTTTAAAAAAGCAGGTTTTTTAAAAATTACATTTAAATGCTGGCAGATTTGGAGGAGATTGTTTTGTGTTTTGGGGTAACAGTAAAATGGTTGCTATCCAGGTATGGAACTGTATGTGACGAGTTGCTGAAATGCATAGCTAGTTAGCTACATATGTAGATACTGTACATATATCTAGCTATCTTATATTAGTTTAAATGCTTCTATGTCATCACAAATGCTTATGTTCTTATATAGATAGATAGATATGGATATTAGTATTATTAGATTTTTATCCTGTCTTTTTATGTATATTTTGTTCAATTTAAGGCAGCAAGCATACCTAACACTTCTGCCTCCTATTTTCCCAACAACAACTCTGTTTAGTGTATTGGTCTGGGACAGAGTGACTGGCCTAAAGTCACCCAGCTACTTTTTCATGCCCAAGATAAAGCTAGAACTCATAGTTTTGTGGTTTCTTTAATAGATATACTAAACTCTTTTCTCCTTCTACTCCTCCTCCTTCCCTTCTCACTCCCTCCTCCTCCTTCTCAGTATTCTGAGGCATAATTACCCATTCACTTCAGCAAAGTTTCAAATATTAAAAACAGCAACAAAGTGGAGCTCTGTGACCTGATGTCCAGTACCCTCAGGTGAAGCTAAAGGATTAGTAATGAATAAAAGTGTTTGCATTGTTTTTGCTTTGCTGTAATAATACTGTGTTTTACCTTACAAATCTTCTCTATTTTTTTTCTTTTCCTATAGAAAAATACAGCTATTTCGCTCTTCATTTAAAAAAATCAAAAAGCCAAATAAATCACAGGAAGAGAAACATGTTCCAGGGAAAGGAAAAGAATCTCTGCAAAGACCTAAAAACTGTCTATGATGGATAAATCTATAATTATGATTTTTAGTCTCTTCATATAATTAAGAAATAGAGTTCATGCCATTATTAAATATGCAAAATATAAGAGGCAAAGATGGAAGATATTGATAGTAAAAATCTTTTGATGACTTACATTCTTGATTAAGAATGAATGAACAAAGAATATTTGTTTCAATAACAAGTACTGTTGTTTTAAGTACATTTTTAAAAACATTATTTATTAGGTTTATATCTCGGGATATTTGAGGAGCCATCTTACTCCAATGAGACTGGTCTGTAAC